GTATATATATATATATATATACATATATATATATACATATATATATTCAATTTTTTTTCTTTTTTTTACTCTGTTTAAAAGGAAAAACAGCTACATTGCTAAAAAAAAATCATATAGATCTATAAATAATTTCATTATAGCCAACGAAATGATTAATTCTCTTACATACACCCTAATTTTGCTCTGTAATGGGCAAAAAACTATGTGTTGCAGTTCAATCGTTAAATTCAATCAAAACTCATAGTCTTATGGTGAGCTTTAATTTTCCCTCAAATAATGTGTTGACTATCCTCATTAGATGTTGAATTTAGAGGTAATCAAGGCACTAATTTTTCATTAAAAAAGTGTTGATTTTTTTTTATTAAACCAACAAAATTTAGAGAAAATCAAAGTCCATAGTCTCTATGGTAATCCTTTGGTCTTTCCTCATAAATGTGTTAACCGTCCTCACTAGTTGGATCAAATTTGAAGGCAGTAGTGGTCCTTAATATTTATCATGAAGATCTAGCCTTTCCTTGAAAAATATTTTTATTGTTCTTCTTCGACAAAGCTCATTTTTCAGTTCAATATCAATATTACATTCAAACATTAATGATGTTAAGCATTTGCATTGATGACATTGAATTATTTAAGTTCATTACCTTCAATTCCAAATTTGCCTCCTTGAAAGTAAACTTCAAGGGAGAAAAGACCACGCTTTGAAAGATTTTAATATTAGGAGCCAACATTGATTATATCAAGCATCAGTGTTAGCTTTGATGCTATTGAAAATATTTAAGATGTGCTACGTTGGAAGCATATATTGTATCCTTCCTGCAAAAGTCAAGAAAAAAGAGATTACACATTGGAAGCTAAGTTTTGAGTTTGAATGCCATAGAACATACAAAAAATGCTTGTGATATTGATGAGGAGTATGATTATGTCATATAAATTCAATAGTTTTGTATCAAGTTTTAAAATAATCTCTCTTATTGTATAGCCTATGAAAATATACTCGTACTTGTATTAGTATATGAGCTAGAATGATGTTTATTGTCACGTCCCGTCCCGAAAGCTTGATGCTTTCCAAAGCGGAAACAGATAGTCAAACAGTAATACTTAAAATTTATTTTATTTTATTTTATTTTATTTAACTAACATTTGATCATCTAAAAACAAACGAAAGAGTCATTACATAATGTAAATTAAATAAATATAGTTAAATTTATTTTAAATCAGATTGCTTAAGTCTTCTATAAATAATCCCATCTCTATCACTCATCTTTAAAAAAAATGTAAACCTCAAAAAGTTAAATTAAAAGAAGTATAAGCTATAAAAGCCAGTGAGTACTCATACTTTTAAATTATAATAAAACAATAAAAAGAAAATAATATTCAAGCTAATCAAATATAAAATAAACTAGTATAATTTATTTGATAGTTTATTTTTTCAATAAGATCGTTCATGAGGATTCAAAGCATTCAATGTATCTTACTATATCAATTACATGTCTATATCTTTTCACATAAATATATAATCCTAGGAAACTTCATCGATTGCAGAATAATGCTATTTTTTATGAAAACTTGTTATAATAGGCATACACAGTGAATTTTTTGTTATATTATATACTATGATCTGGCATACCATTAAAGAAAAATATTTATGTCTGATGCCATAATTTATTATTAGAATGACTCATATATATACATGAGGTGCAAAGAAACATTAGGAAATGGCTCTTGTTAGAAGAGGCCCAAGATGTAATTTGGGTGCGTCATGATTCTGAATATGGAGGGTATTTTGGAGGTTATAAAACAATAACAAAGATCATATAATATGGATTTTATCGGTTTACATTGGTTAGAAATGTGAATGAATATATCAAATCATGTCATAGATCTCAGAGAGTAAGCAATATTTCAAAATGAGATGAAATACTCTTAGATTACACCTTGGAAATTGAAATTTTCAATGTTTAGAGTTTTAATTTTATGGGATCTTTCGTACATTCCCTAGGAAACTCTTATATCCTTGTGATAGTGGATTTTGTCTTAGAATGGATAAAAGTTATAACTCTCCCAAATTGTGATGCTCACAAAGAGTTTCTAAATTTTTGAAGAAAAATATTTTTAGCAGGTTTGGAATTGGTAGGTTGAATAAAGAATATGATTAGAAAGCACAAAAATCATTATTACATGTATAACAAGGAAACAATGTAAGAAATACATAAAACTCAATCTCGAGACAAGTGGTCCTTACAATACATTGTGATCCTCTATGTTCAATGCAAGCATTTCGTATATCTCTCTCATATAATTGCATTCAACCTCTCCTTATAACATCTCCAAACTTGCAAGAAAAAAATCTTAGGAATCTTCCCTAAGGAAAATATGGAGAAAACCCTAGGGTTGAAAAAGTCTCTACTAAAAGTTGAAAAGATACAACTTTCATAATGTCCAAGAGTGTGTTAGGTCATGCTCAAGCTCTCTTTATATAGTTCTTGCCAAAAATTTCATCAAAAAACTTACCAAAATAAACCTAGTCGGTATACGGCGTGACTACGTGCGATACGACACAATTATGTCTCGGGTCGGCGTGGTCACGACTAAGCCTGGCGTAATTACACTTACCATGCAGCAAATCGACTTAATTAAACCGTGTAATAAAGTGGTTATGTCAGTTCGAATTCTTTGCTCGCTTTGTATTTTAGCTTAGTGTAGCGCGATCGACCCCTACAACATCCAAAATATCACAGAAAATCTTCGGCAAGCAAAAAATCATGATAATTAGTGCAAAAAACACGGTATTTAAAGCAAAGAGATCATGTAATTTTATCTCATGTTACTTTCTATCTTGTTTGAGAAAAGCTCAGCTTGACTCAATCCCATATTATTGCTACACAATTGAATAGTATTTTGATGAATGATGCCTGATAATCTTTAACAACTTATGTTCGAAAAAAATGAGTATCGATGTGAGATGAAATGGTTAAAACAATTGAAGTTTTGAAATATCAAATATTTTACCCACACTATTAGGCTTAAAATTTTAGACTATTAGGCTTAAAATTTTTAAAAAATATCAAATATTTTTTAAAAAATATCAAATATTTAACCCACACTGTTGGGCTTAAAATTTTAGACTGAAAATAATAAGAAATTTTACATACAAAAACACTCAATGCTCATGCATTTAAAAATCCAACAAATTTATGTTTATAATACTTGGTATTAGTACTAGTGGTTTTTTTTTTAATGTAATGTTATAAATATATATATATAATTTTGAGCATCATATATATATATATATATATATGTATGCTAAGGACGTTAGCATTATATATATAAATAATGCTAAGGACATTAGCATTATATATATATATATATATATACATATATATATACATATATATATATACAAATATATATATACATATATATGTATATATGTATGTATATGTATGTATGTATCTATGTATATATATGTATGTATGTATGTATGTATATATATGTATGTATGTATGTATCTATATGTATATGTATATGTATGTATGTATGTATCTATGTATTTATGTGTGTATATGTATATATTTATATGTATGCTGTATATGTATGTATATATATGTATGTATGTATGCATATATATATGTATGTATGTATGCATATATATATATGTATGCATATATATATGTATGTATATATATGTATGTATAT